ATTTATTTTTCAAAATTTAATCTGAAGTGAGTTTTTTTTTTCCCGTTCTCCTATTGGTATATTTGATTGCTTTATTTTTAGCAAAGCATAGCAAGTCAAACAGCAAATTTTCTGTGTCTTTTATTAGGATGAGAGCAACTGATAACCTGACAAAATTCATAACTCACAGTGTCTGAAGTTTAGAATCTTTTGTGCAAAAGCAGTAGCCTACATCACCGGTACCCAAATAACAAGCTAGGAATGACAATTAAAAGGTACATTATGTAACTTTATTGTAGTACTTTTTCTTATTTTATTATTTACTATTTTATAGGGATGTAACGATATCCAAGTCTCATGATACGATATTTATTGTGATATTGTGGAAAAGTTCACAATATGGTGGGGAGGCTCACGATTAGGGATGGAACAATATCCAAATCTCTCTGTACGATATTTTCACGATATACATCTCGCGGTACGATACTTATTGCGATATTTTGTGGAGGCAAACAAAACTGTTAATCTGATTTTCCTCTTAAAATGCCTTGACAAGACTTAATCCAAAGACCTAAGACTTAAAAGTGCTTTAGAACTGTTATTTCTTCATGTAGTCTACACTGAAATGGAGCAAAGGATCATGGTCTATGTAGTTCTCTGTCTTTTTTTTTTTTAGCTATTGCTGCACCATAACTCTTAATTTAAGCAGAGAGACTTGTAATTCGATATATTGTGATGGACCACGATATTATTGTGAGAACTTTGACGATACAATATCACAATATTTCGGTTATTGTTACATCCCTACCATTTTATTATTATTAACTTTCTGTTTCCTGTCATGTCATCCTGCATGATTCTATGGAAATAAAAAGTTAAAACTGTATTTTGGAACATTCTCCATGGAAATAGTACTATACTTTACTGTGGAAGATGATCAACATTTCCATGGAAACAGGCAGGAGGAGGGGGTGTCCTCCTCCAGGCCAAATAAGAGGTTTGTGGAGATGAAAGCCCGCTCACAGTAGGGATGTTTTTCACTGCAATAAACACAACCAAATTGGAAAAACATGCTTCTTGTTCTAGTCTATTTTTTAGGTTAAAAAGTTACACGCAGTGGCTTTAAACAGAATAAAGTCCAAATAAAAACCAAACAAACAAGTCACTCGGAACTTGTGAGCGTTTACAACAGCAGGGCATAAAACACGGCATAAATATTAAAGCAAGTTTCCCAAGTAAAAGTCCTATAGTAGTGCTCCAACTTCCTGCACTATCCATCCTATAAACATGGTGACCTCATGCTCTCTCATTCAAACTGCTGTGCCCTCCCATGTCAAACCCAATCCTCCATCCTCCTCCTCAGCCTCTTCATTCTAACTTGGCCCGTCTCGTGTTTACATCAGCTGCCGGCCCTGGTCTAAACTGCGGTCAGTCCCTCCCACACGCCCTGCCCTGCTCCCAGCCACAACCACACTACATCTCTGCCCTCACCGCACACAATAGCGGGCTGTTCCCTGGGCTTGTTTTACGACGGGCCTGGGCGTACCATAACTCAGCGTGGTGGCGGATGAAAGGACACCGGCGAGGACGAGAAACAAAGTCGGTGAGCACGGAGAGAGAGAGAGAGAAAAAGAGAGAAAGAAATACTGTTCCGCTGTCGTCTGAAGCTCGGAGAATAAAGCTTTAGGCAACGGGCGTAATTAAAGGCCCCCCGTGGTGCATGGAAACTAGTAATCATGGACCAAAACACAGCTCAGATGGGAGATGTAGAATGACAAACAGCCAATCAGAATGTCACGGCTAAGTAGATGTGATACCAGTGGGATAGACACGTGTAGCCTGTTGCTAAGCTTTGTCTGAAACCACTAGTTTGTAAAGGTCCTATATTATGCATGATTCTTGCTTTTTACGCCACTTTGGACATCTCAGCCTTGGCATTTCCTGTAGTAAAACAAAATGTAGGTGTCTGGAAATAACATGGTTGCAGTGCGATCTGTGGATACTAAACTAAGGACGCAGCGATCCAGCTTTTTCAGTTCTGATACGGATATCGATACTTTGATTTTAAGTACCTCCCAGTTAGGGCTGGGCGATATGGAGCAAAAAATATATCTCGATATATTCTGCTGTATCTCGATATACGATATATATCTTGATATCTGTACAGGAAAAATAACCCCCTAAAACTGAAAACTGCAAAAACAAATATGTCTAATTCCACAAGGTCTTTTTTATTGAAGTGCAAGAGGTCGGCAGTTCATGTAGGAACAAAGTGCTTCTGCCCCGTTTAAGATTACAAAAAATCCTTAATTACATAAATAATAATTTAATTGTAAAATTAAAAAAAATAATACATATTGTCTTCTTTTCATTCATAAATAAAACAACTCAACTCAAGCTCATCTTTGCATTAACTCTGTTATCCAGACCATAACCATAACCATCAGCTCCTTCAGCACAGGAAGCTCAGTAGGTTCATTATTTTAACAGACCCATGTTCCTCACCAGCGTAAGGGGCTATGAGGTTTCCCACAATCTACTGCACAGATCAAACTCAACGTTTCCAAACACTATTGTACAAGTTACATTGCAGCAGATTATTCATTAAAATCTTCAACATAAAAAAACTTTACATGACTAAACTTTACAACATATAAAGCATAACAACTATAGAACCACATCAGCTCGTTTGCCATTATAATGTGTTTAATGCAGTTTTGTGCAGATTTGTTTACGTTTTACAAACATGAAACCTAAAAGCGCATGGCTCATTTCTATAAACAGCACTCTCATTGTGCCGCTGATGTGGTTCAGCTTCTTTTGGACTAAAGGACATGACTCAGTGGAATATGAGTGTTCTCTCTGTGACAGAGGATGTGCTGCTGATGGCTTGTCTGTAAATGGTGGAAAAGGTTCGTGGTGCTTAAAGCTTTTCACTGGCACCAACTTTGGGCATTCACGCGGTAGTGAGGAGTGAATGAGACTCAAGCAGCAAAATCAGGGAGACGGGAGCGCGCGGGGGTGACCACATAGAAGGCAAACAAGCGAAGCAGTGAAATCAGAATTGAATATAAACATTATATCGATATATACAATATGTCAGAATCCATATTGAGTTTAAAAAATATCGAGATATCACCCACCCCTACTCCCAGTATGTGATATTACCAGATATCTGTGGAGGGACAGAAAATGGCCCTCATTTCTTTAAAACACAGTTAATCTATTACACAAGAGATTCAGCTGTGTCGTGTAACTGTTATTTATCCTTCAAATAATTACTGGACAACTATTGTATGAATAAAGTTCAAACATTATGAAACGTTCTAATCTGGGCTAAAATCAACCTGCGAACAGTGTTATTACATCCAATTAAAGGCACAACCAGGATTGATTTATTGGCGCATCCCTGTGCAAAACACCAGCAAAAGGTGTAATATCTACATCTGAAGGTGCACTGAATAGTGAAGCAGTTTAGATCAAGCTCAAAGACAACATTTGGCTGCTAATGTTAGAGTTGCCGAGCAGTATAGTGCTGGTTATTTGAGGCTTTAAATGATCAGAACACGCCTGGTGAAAGTGTTTGGTATTAGCTAACAGTGAGGAGCTGAAGGTAAGCTGCTACCTCAGGGGAGGGAGAATATGCCGGATTACTGAAACGTGGGCAAATAAAACCTGTTTCTCCAAGGAGAGGATACATTACAACTAGGGCTGGGTGATAGCAGGTGATGTACCACTTCCAAAAAGTTGCATACTGTATGTTTAAATCGTTAGAGGGTGGAAAGCTGTTTGAACAATCATCAAATCACCCAGTTTAGCTACAACAAGGTAAACAACAACACACTCACTTAAGATCTTAAAGAGGGGACATTTCTATGGGGTATTCACTGCTAACAAATAACATACTGAGATCATCATGTTACGTTTTATTGTTTTGACAACGCTATATTCACTGATGACAACATATTAACATGTTTTATGAAGTTTCACCACAATTTTTGATGCTCTCAATCCTCCCTCCATCTGCTCTCCATGCTGTCACTCCCCTTTCAAAGCGCTGTAACACCTACATATATAACATATACAATCGGCGTGCATCCCGCTAATGCAGGGGTCTCCAACCTGTAGCTCTCCACCCCCTTCCAAGTAGCTCGCCAAGGGACTTCTAAATTATACATATTGTGCTGGATAATTAAGATTTGATTAATTAAATGCTTATTATCATTGTAAATGCGTGCTTTTAATGCCTACATTTGTGCATTAATACATGGATAATGGTTTATGCTTTATAAGAACCTAGCTGTCCCCATCTAAGGCTCTTATATTTACTCAGTTTTTTCCAACCTCTAAAATGAGTAGCTCTCTGGAATGTTTGTTTTGTAAAGGTAGCTCATCAGAGAAAAAAAACGGTAGGAGACCCCTGCACTAATGAAACTAGTGCACACTACATCAGGTTTGTGAAGTTGTGGAGTATTGTATTGTATCCTGCTTTTGCACCTTGTACCTGGACACTTGTGGGTTAAGCAGTGGACAGAATCTTCCAGCAAACTGTAAGTACGGTTCAAATAATGCTGGGGAGATCACTAAATTCCTCAAACATGCATGGATAACATCTAAAACCTCTTCAAGCACATTTCTGATGAGGGAACAACATAAAAAGCTCCTAAAAGGTTTGCACAATACCCCCCTCTTTAATGATTTGTGTAGAAATGCTACCATAAAATACGTAGAAAAGGGGTTCTGATGATAATGCACTTCAGGAAATTCTTGAATAGTGCAAGATTTGTTCAATTAGATTACCTCAATCAGTGAAGGCCCTATATATTTTTTATACTATGAACCAGATTTATTTTGACCTGAAAAAACTACCAACCATGCTAAACAAAAACAATTACAGCGGCAGGGTTCTGAAAAGTAAAACTGCATCCAGAGTCTCTTACACTCTAAATAAACCTTCTCAGGCTTAATTAAAGATGCCCTGCTGTGGATGAAGACTTGTAATAAAAGCCAGCTGCACTCACCATCGTACGTAAAATATCCTCCATCTTTGAAGACCACCACAGCAGGAAGCTCCGGCAGAGTCACCTCCTGGAATCAAAAGAGAATAGGTTCACACCAAAGTCCATAAATTATGTTTTTTTTTCTCTCTCTCTCTGTGCATCTGGAAAATATATAGGACGAGTGAGTTGGCAGAGGACTGTGCAGTAATTTGCGCGACTGGCTCTTTTCTGCAGAGACAGCATGTGAGCGCGGGGCTGGGGATAATCATGATACTAGAACGCAATTATTACCAAGGTCTGGAGAGCTAACAAACATTTCCACTTGATGCATTACTGAGTTACATGGCTAGAATACAAGGTTACAACAAAGGCATTTAGGAGTTTGTTTAGATGCAGAATTCTTTGATATCAGATTCATGTTCTACTGTTGTGGCCAATAACCAATATTCATATAAATATTTCAAAATCCACTGCAAGGACCACAAATCAAATAAAAAAAATGTCAAAATCCATGGTAAGACTCACCAATCAAAGTTACAGTTAAGTTTACAAGTTCACAAATAGACTTTTCTCCATTTATGTTTTTTTATATGTGACTAATGTATATTTTATTTTACCTTTGTATATGTCTGTCTATAATTAATTATCCATCTGTTTATAATATTAATAATATTGGGTATATCATAATTTGTTGATGTTTTTCAAACCCTGTGTAAACCTACAACCACCTATGGCTTAATTTCTCCTCCATTTCTACTGGAAATAGAAAGAGATTTCCATATTTCACTTATATACGAAATGATTTTACAATATAACCTACATACCAATATTGGCACAAAAATTTTAATTTGTATTCACACTTATTCATGGGAATCTGCCGTATGGGGACAAAATTAGGTCCCCATGATGTAAATTTATTCATTTATTTATTTATTGACCTTTATTTAACCAGGCTAGTCCCGCTGAGATTTGGAATCTCTTCTGGGAAGTCCTGGCTCAAGGGGGAGGAGCCTATTCAACATGTTTTAGTGGAAGAGGAAACCAGAGCACCTGGTAATGAGCATCCTGTAAAAAATGTTGTTGATTTAATAATAATGTTCAGATATGGGTTAAAACAGGTCTAGGGTTTAAATTAAAGTTAAGCAAGTAGTGACTATGGTTAAGATTGGGGTCAGTCTCCTCGGCAATGAAAGTCAGTCAACGTAATGTGCCCAAAACTCTTGTGGACATTACATAGACTGGCTTTCATTTCTTGGAGACTGATCCTAACCTTAAAGTTCCTATATTACGCAAAATTGATTCATGTGAGCTTTAAGACATGTTAGAATGTTGTTATCTCCCCAAAATAGACCTGAAGATGTGTTTTGTTTCATTCACATGCTTGAGTTTTGGTGCTGAAATTACCCAAATGATTCTACTGTATGGAGTTTAAAAACACAGTGGAGCACTTCCTGTGGTAGAAGAGTGTTTTCTGTTACTCCAGGTATGTTTGTGATGAGGAAACATTGATCAGAAAATTGTGTATAATGGGTCCTTTAATAAACGTTGCTTAACCTTAAACGTAAGGAAACCAAACTCTGGCTAAGCCTTGGCTTCTGCGGGCTTCAACAAATGACCCAAGCCTTATTTCAAAAGTTTATGGTACCCTGGACAGTTTGGTTTTTCCAGGCAACTTTTCACAAACAACTCCATACTGTAACAAAACAGTCATGTTTATGCAGCAAAAATATGATATACACACAAATGTTACCTCTGGCAAGACCTCCTCTGCAGCGGAGAAGAAGTACGTGTAGACAATGAGCTCGGAGGCCACATCGTTGTACTTCTCCTGCAACAACATCACATCATGTTTCAGTTTACACACAGCCACTCAATAAGTGACATTTTCAGGCAGACTGGATGGGAGGTGCAGCCCAGAACATGGTTAAAAAGAGCAGCTGAGCACTTAGCCGACCGCCCAATCAATATGCGGTTTATAGCCGAGTGCGGGTCTATAAAAGAAGATCCTTTGTTGACAGGAGATGGGCGCATGGATACGTACTCGGAGTGGTGAGTCGCCTCCCACGTAGACGAACAGAACCGTGTGGCGTTTGAGCATGTGAGTGAACATCTGCTTACTGGGCAGGGCTCGGACCGCTGGGCTGAAAAGCACAGACAATAGCAAAAGGTTGGTGTTAGAAAGGTGGATGACAGTGGCAGTCTTTTTACATCCAGGTGGGTGATACTGATAAAAAAATAATATCTAAATTTTGGGGGGCTTGGTTAACAGTGACAGTATGTAGCTGGAACAATGATTTCATGAAAACAGAAAACTAAAATCATACTTCGGAACATTCTCCATGGAGATAGTAGATAAAAGTTTTATCCCATATTATGGAAGATTATTAACCAGGCTGGCACCACTTAGTGCCTCTGCTCAATTTCATTTAGGAATCAGAATATAATAAACAGTTCGCAAAAACCCTGGAAGTGCAAGTTCGGGCACCAGTCGATCAGCAAAGAGCCATACATTCAGTGTTGTCAACGATTCCCGAGATCGAAGATTTAAAGCCAGAATAAAGAGAATGTTTGGTGCATTTTATCAAGGGGAAAGACTTCATTGCCCAAGTGACTACCAAATAGCAGCGATTGATTAAATGATAAAAAGTACCCGTCTACCACCGAGCGAACGAAATCTAACACTGCGAGGTCAGATGGTTTCTACGAAGTCAAACAGGCTGATGAATCAGGCTAGAAGATTATAGCTAAAGGAACTATTTTTCCATGGAAAGAAGCAGACGAAGGCCCTCCTCCAGGTCAAGTAAGAGTCAGTTTGTGGAGACACAAGATCACTCAGAGTAAGCATGTATGTTTTTTTTTTATTTTTCAGTGCAATAAACTAAACCAAAATGATTATTTTCATCTATTTGGCAATTATCCAAATGATTCTGGTGAAGGTGTATGGCGTTTTATAACACAGAGAAGCACTTCCTGTATTGCCACACGCTATCACAAGGTGGAACAGTGTTTTCTGTTTGTGAGAAGAACTCAAGAATATGTGTGTGAATATGTGTGTGTTCAAGTTAGCAGCTACCTTTATACTTCTTGTTTGATTGGCAATTCCAGGGCTGAAATGTTGCAAATGATTCTAGTGAAGGTGTTTGGACTTTAAAAACACAGTAGAGCACTTCCTGTATTACATCACAAGTGGGAACAGAATGTTTTCAGTTTGAGAAAAGCCTAAATATACAGGTTTTGTGTGTTAAACATGTGTGAAGGGAACAAAACACAACTCCAGTTCTGTTGGTGATGAGGAAAAAACACCAAATCATTAGATTAAAAAAAATGTAATATGAGCCATTTAACTAAATTTTTAGTGAATTTGCTCTATTAGAGGTGTTTTTATTACTAAAAATACACCTGGTCTTTCTGTGAGTGGGATCACCTCTCCACAGTTTTGACCTGTAACCCTGATGTTTGTCACTTGTGGATACATTTAATGCCATACTGTGAAATCTTCCAGGGAAAGCAACAACATCTCCATGGAGAAGAGAAGTTGGCGGATGCTACTTTTAATTCCAGACTATACCTCCATATTTTAATTTTGCATATCTCCAAAAAATAATTGCGATATTATACATTTTCCCAAACATCTCCCAACTCTAACAGGTGGAAAAGTTCTGCTAAGTATTTGGAAAAGCTGCCTTAATGAAGATTTATTTCTTGTTTTGATGACATTCAAATCCCCTGAGCATAGTAAGCCTGGCACATGGCGCAGACGTACTAAAAATCTTTAAATATAGTCATAGAAGATTGGAGAGCACTGACTGGGACGCTCTAATTGAGGTTTCAAATGCATCTGTGATTATAGCGGCAATAAATACAATACAAAAATACAACCATTAGGGAAGCGGGTAAATGTCCAATTGTGATTTTTCTGAGAAGCGTTATGATTATGAACAGATTTAGACTCAATTTATGTTTTTTTTTTTTTTTATAAGAGGCTTCTATTCAAAGTTCACATTTAAACTCGTCCTGAAGACTTGACAAAAAGACTGAAATATGAACTGACAAACAGGTATGCAGGTGTTATAATGTTATGGGTGTGAGGCTTGCAGAATTAATCAAATTGAAATCGCAAAGGCTGCAATTTTTGAAGCGCCATAACTCCGTCCACAAACAACAAAATCTCTTATTCTGCATAAAAACTGCAAGTCCTGTAGTTTAGATCTGCACAAATATGTTCTGAAATGTGATTCTTGTATTAGTTTGTCAGCTCATATTTCAGTCTTTTAAAAAGTCCTATATTACGCTATTTTCTGATCTACGTTTCTGTTTCTTCAACAAAAACATACAGTATATGGAGTAGGGTTGGGCGGTATCCAAATTTTTTATACCGTTTAACCTTCTCAGGATTTTACGGAGGTATTACCGTATTACCAAAATGTTTTAGTACGACTTTGGTAAGCTATGAATCCGCACCGGTATCTGGTTTATGCATATACCCTGCAGACTTATAATCTCTGAAAAGTTTCACATGAACCATCTCCAACGCGACACATGCACAGAACAGACTCACCATCAGCAGCATATCCTGTCGCAGAAAGAACACACATTATTCTGCCTCCACTAGTGTAGAACAGTTGAAAAGTCTAGAACAATATCGCGGCTAAAATAGATAAACTCAAAACAGAAAAATTCTCCACTGAGGGCAGAACACACATGTTCCACTGAGTCATGTCCTTTAGTCCGACAGAAGCTGAACCGCATCAGCGCACAAGGAAAGCACTGTTTTTATCAGCGCTTTATAGTTTATGCAAATAAGTCATGTGGTCTTAAGTTTCATTTCTGTAAAACGTAAACAACAAATGTGCACCTGAAGCCAAAATGCTACCAAATTGCAGAAGTACTAGTATTTTTTATTTTTTTGGGGGGGGAGGGAGCAACTCTCTTGTGGCTGGACTTGCCGTCTTGTCTTGGTCTCCCTGATGAGCATCACGTGACAACGGAACGAAACTAATCGAATGTCATCTCCCCACGCAGTTCAAAGAAACATTATTGACACTGTTAGTTTTAAATTGTGATAGCATTAAATTGAAGATATACAACCACACATTAATTTGTGCTGAGCACACAAATGTAGGTATCAACAAATTATAATATTATATTAGGTCCTTATGCACTGCAGATTTTTTTAATGACGGTAATAAAACTGATACCGTTGCTACTTTTTGATACCACGGGATACCTTAATATTGTATTACTGCCCAACCCTAATCTGGAGCTGTGTTTTGTTTCTTTCACACATGTTTAACACACAAAACCTGCATATTTAGCCTCATCTCAAACTGAAAACACTCTGTTCCAACTTGTGATGTCATATGGTAATACAGGAAGTGCTCCACTGCATTTTTAAAATCCAAACCCCTTCACTAGAATCATTTGTATCATTTCAGCCCTGGAATTGTTGATCTTTACAAAACAACAGGTAAAAAACATGAAAACTACTGCTTCGTGACATCACAAGGTGGAACAAAGCATTTTAACATTTGTAGACGTAGACAGACTAATAATAGTGGATTACGCAAACATGTAAATGAAACAAAGCACAACTCTAGTTACGTTTTTGAGGTAACAACATTCTAACATGACACGAAGCTCATAAGAATCCATTTTGTGTAATATAAGACCTTTAAAATATTAACTTTGAACAAAATCCTATTACTAAAACATAAATCGCAAATCTAATCACAATGCTTATCAGAATTTTTTCCCCATTTACAATAACCTCAGAATAGACCATTTCTAGACTTGTTACACTGTCATTTATGTGCCAACACTGCCCTCTCATGGCCACTCCACACGTTACACCCTAGAATCACAATTGTGCCAAGCGTTTGATCATGCCCTCTGTCACGGATCTAAGCGAGATTTCCCTGAAGGAGGAGAGACTGTCAGGCTGCTGGATACAGTGGCTCAGACAGGAGCGGAGAGGCGCAATTCCACGGGGCCCCCAGACAAATATGGCCGACGTTGATAAGCTGGTTTGGATGGCTTTATTAGCACCACAAAGAGTTTCTCGGGGCATGGGGGAGAGAATGTGACACCTGGTTATATACAGAGACTCACCCAGAGACTCTGTTGGCGAATTCTACGATGTCGTCTTTTGTCCGTGGACCCTTGTAATTATAAGCCAGGTCGCCTTTTAACCTGGGCAGAAACAGGAGGGAGAAATAAGAAGTTAGTGTGAAATTACAATGTTAGAATATAGGTAAGTGGAAAAGCAAGTTATTGTTTTTTGTTAACTGTGGACATTTTTACATGTAGGCAGGCAACAATATCTAAATCTCTCTGTACCTAATTTTCATGATATGCATCTCACGGTATGGTATTTATCGCAATACTTTGTAGAGACTGATTGTGAATATTCCATTTTCCCCTTTTAAAATGCACTGACAAGTCATTTGCACCAAAATCAATTAATATAAGCATAGAGACTTCATAATTTGTAATTGTGATGGTATGATATCACAAAATTTCAGTTATTGCTGCATTCCTATTTACATGGACCATAAAATCAGATGGCAAGGACAATCAGATAATCCAGTAATAACATCAGATTTTTGGTGTTTGTTTGGTGTGAGCAACTTAACTCTTAGAACACAAAAAGTATGAACCGTTTGAACTTTTGGAACAATTATGTATTTAGTTTTATTCTTAAAATTGTGTCATGATTCAAATTAAAACACAATTACAATACTAAGGGAAAGGTTTGACACGGTGTAATTCTCTCAAATTAATGTCATTTTAAAACCAAAATAATAGTACTTTATGTAATATTAGCATGTTGTTTTATAATACTAATTCTTATATATTGCACCGATACTGAAAAATTAGATGGATCGGGTATTGGTTTCATAATATCGGTTGAGCTGATATCTGGTCACTGTTTTGATGATTAAAATGTGTGTGTTTGAACTTTGCACAAGAAGTGGTTTAACAAAGACTTTTAGTATCACAGCCATGATTTAGTCTTTATTTTTATTGAGCTATACTGAATCGATTTGAAATATATCGTATCGAACCAAAAGTGCACTGTATCGAGATATGCATCTCATAACATTTTAACTTTTTTCATACAAATGTAATAACTACAAAGTAGTTATTTGAAGGATAAAAACATATAGTAATACAGGAAGTACTCTATTGTGTTTTTAAAGTCCAAACGCCTTCAGAAGAATCAGTTGCATCATCATTTTTACAAACCAAAAGGTGAAAAGATAGCCGTTAACCTGATAACTACTACTTCATGACATAACAAGGTGGCACAGAGCATTTTGAGCTTTGGAGATGTAAACAGAATAATAATAAAGATTACACAGCATAACACAGTTGGATTTCTAGAGTAATAAGTTAGTTGTTTGAAGGACATAAAGTGCCATTTTCCATCCCTACACTGGTATCTGGTAAATATCGAGTATTGGCAGATACTTAAAGTCAAACTATTGATATCGGAAGTGAAAAAGCTGGATCGGTGCAGCTCTAATCAAGGCCACTGAAAAACTATTCTGGAAAGTTAAGTTTAGAGTTTCAAATAAGTGTCTGGTTTTAATGCTATTAGTCGAAGTACTGATTAGTGTCTGGGAAAAGATTGAGAACACAAACTCTAAAAGTGTCAAAACCAACCACTTCACCATCATCACTTGCTACTTATTTGAATAAATACAATAAAGCAGGCGATGCAAATACACTCACATCAGCCAGAAGTTGTTCAAGCTTGAATTTTGAACTTGTTAAAAGTGATAAAACATTTGTGGTAAATCAACATATACTCATTTTCTGCTAGTACAACAAAAATCAATAAAATATTAAAATTACATTATTGCAGAATGAAATTTAAGATTTATAATGCCCTTCACATTTTGTACCAATCCCCGCTTACTTACAAAACTTTCAGCTAACCTTTGTGCAATTCCTTTCCCTATCCGAAAACAAATCAATATTGTAATTATGCAAACGAAAAGAATAAGCAAGTAAATATCCCCGGGCAAACCAAGTCCTGATTATTCTCAACTCTTTTCCCAACGACTTTGTGATTACACAGCTAATCCATGGGGCCACGCTTGCTATGAGACAAAGGTCGGTCCGATCATCAACTTTGGGGGGACAGATGGGAGTGTCTCTAATTGAGTTCCAGACAGGAGACTAGTGCAGCGGTTGCGTCAGTCCGTGGGGTTTAATGAACTCGGAGGGAGGGAGGGGTGAGGGGGGGTGAGCTGGTGCGTGAGTCTGTATAGGGAGTTGTCACCGGGGAAGCAGGTTTCATCAGCCAAGTCCCGTCGTCGTCCTGTCACAGTGTTTTTAATGAATTTGACGGCAGCCAATAGGAGGTCTGTTATGTCAGCGAGCAGAGGGACTGAGAGGAGTGAAGTATGGAGAGAGTTATAATGAGTATAATGACAATAGAGAAGAGCTTTGCAGAAGTTCTAAAGTTGGGGAATTTTATGCCAGACTCATGGTTGATTATTAAAATATTGACATAAATATTGATTCTATATTTCTATCAGTATTGAATAAGAAATATCAGACAACAAACGGGAAAGGTGAGTGTGTTCATAGGTCTGTAGATGTCAGTAGATGTATGTTTGCACACACAACCTCTTGCATACAGCTGTGACTTTATGTTTTATCACTTATCTTTTTCTTCTTATTTTATTTTGACTTGTACATTTACATTTATATAATTATGTCTTATTTGACAGCTGTTTCTCGCCATCTTTTTTGCTACTTATTTAGAGTTTGTCATTACCATCTATATTTTCACTCTCTGTTATTATATTATATTGTGATGTGTGAGCTAATGTGTCCAAATAATTTCCCTCGTGAATCAAAAAAGTTTGTCTAAGTCTAAAACGGGTGCTATTCGGAATTAAAAGTCCTCAACTACAAAAAGAAATCTTTGTACTTTATTTGGCAATTTAAGTCAGTTTTAAAAGACAGAATACTTCTAAGCTTTATAGTTTGTAAAAAACAAAACAAAAAAAACCCAATCAACTCCCATATACTAATCAATACTATTAAAACTAGTACTCAAACTATCCTCATCTGAGTATGTCTCGATACTGGGGGGATAAAAACAATACATTTTGACGTTTCTGGAATTGTTTTAGATTTGTTTAGAAGATTTTATTGTCATTGTCATAGAAAAAAACAACTAAATTATGTTTAGAGCATCAAACACTGCATCATTTTCATGTGAAATACAATGTCAACGGTGCAAGAGCCCAATAAAAAAAATTAAATTAAATTAAATATAAATAAAAAATATCCACATTAGTGAAATAATGACATTTTGAAATCAAGAACAAACAAATGTCTTAATTTATGATAAAAACTAGATGAAAATGACATTCTTTTGTATAATAAAATATAGCTTTTTAAAATCATTGTGTTATCAAAATTGGGACTGAGTATCAAGCCTTTTCCTTCAAAATGTAGAAAGTTTTGAAAAGCATTGTAAAACACTTACAATTTACTTAGAACAACAGGCAAACTAGTACACCTTCAGTTGCACCAAATGTATTAATAAACATATTAACAGATCAAAACAATTGCAAGGTTAAAATCATAAGCACAACATGCCTTTTGTCTGTTTTCCAATTCCAAAACACACCATACTAATGAAATATCTAAGATGAATTAACGGTTGACTTGGGGTGAAAAGATAATTTGCATAGGTGTGAACAACAGCTAATTCCCAAGTCTGTCTTATCTCGGGGCGTCCCAAAGGACCGAGTGTTAAGAGGCTAACAGATGGCAATAATAACTCTATTAAATGTTACAAGAAATTATCAAGAGGGGAATATGACTCAATAATTACAATTCAACTATGTAGAGCACACAGTTTGAAAAATACAAGAACCATTTTAGACCATATCAACAATCACCTGGTTAGTTTAAAGGCACAATATGTAAAATCAAATACTAATCAACACTAATATCGAAAGCAGGCAAAGTATAAGAGCACATAGGCTAATAAACCGTCATGGAACACTATAGAACCTACCTGGACCACTGAGGGATTACACAGATAAAAGACCAAATGGTAATACAAATGAAAGTAATATGATTTAATATAGAAAATTACATTCTATTGTCTGAATAAAGAATATAAAAAATATATATTGCAGTTTCAGAAACTGTATCGAGTATTCAGTCTATTCCTTAGTATCGAAATCATGTTTAAAATATTTATATCTTGGTAACACTAATGTCAACGCTTTAAACACATTAAAATAATCTGTCTCCATCTGTTGAGTTACAGGTCACGTCTGTGGAGAGGTGAGTTATATACTTTCAAGGGTGTTTTCATGAAGTAAAAGGCCTATAACTGGACGATATATGATAGATGCAAGATATATTTGGTGGAAAATTCAGACAAAGAAATAACATTTCCATGGTGACAAGAAGACGGTGCACCCTCCATCAGAAGAAGAAGTTACATAGTGCACGTTTAACAAGTTGATTAAAAGGTGCTGTACCTGATTTTTAAAAATGTGAAAAACTGAACAACTGGTAGCTAATTTTAAACGGCTTGCAGTGGTTATTAAGTTATTCCTCACTTACCTTATGCACTCAGAACATTCTAATTATTCACAGTGATGAATTTATAAGCACTTTTCACAACTCTCAGAGAAGCTAGTATGCCAGAATGCCCTTCCTGATTATCAGACAATACACAATGAGCTTAGGTTATTATTAAGTTCTTTTTTCAGACAATGAGTTTGTTTTCATACTTGCCAGTTTCAACTTCTCATTTGTGCTCTTCCTCAGAGTGGTCACGTAATGTTGCTGTGACATGTCCGGTCAACAGATTTATACAGATTTTGGCGCTGTTTTTCTACCGGAGGCAGGACAACAGCGCCATCTGCAGTCCTACTTTCTCAGGACAGTATCCCAGGAGTGTGTATAAATCAGCAACATCACAGCAACACAGTATCTCTTGGCACAAACTCAAAATAAAACAATTAAAAAAAAAAAAAAAAAAAAATCAACATCACGTGATCACTCTGAGGAAGAGCGCTAGTGAGCAGTCCAAATTGTCAGGTATGAAAACAAACTCTTGGTCTGAAAAAAGAACCTAATAACACAAATTATCAGAAGACCAAATGAACCTCTCATTGGACTAAACAATTAACTTATTTTGGCCTCAAGAGCTGCTTATAATATATCTGTATGGGGCAAGACAGGTTTTGCGCAAACACACACACAAAAAAAAAAAATCAGGTACAGGACCTTTAAACTAACCATAAAGCTGTAATACTATTTCATGTTTCACTTTTATTATTAATGTTACTTGAGTGTTACTTGAGTTGGAGTGGTTTGATCTCTGAAAGCCAATGTAGTGCAGGTTTTCAGCTAGTTTAACCTGACATATATTGAGCCATCCTTCTTTGCTTGCGGACACGTGCTGTACCTAAACTTGAATCGATTTCTCAGCTGCACACCGGAGAAGGATATTTGGAGAGAAAACTGTTGCTGGGACCCTTTTAAAATGACACAGATAGAATATTGTGTAGGAGGCCGAAGGGGCACTTACAGTTTTATTGTGGGGTAACCGCGGACACCAAACTCTGACGCCATACCTGCAACACAAAGGGAAATACCAATCAATCAATCACTGTATATTTAAAGGGACCCATATTACACTATTTTCTTATCTATGTTTGTCTCCTCAAAAAAGCTCTAAAAAGTCTATTTTGCATAATTGGTCTCCTTTAATACCTTTATTAACTTGATATCATTCACATATCGCTAGGGCTGGGCGATATGTCCAAAAACATTGTATTGCTCTGCATTAATTTGACAAAATCTAAACAAAAACAGCTTTTAGTATTGATTTCATGAAAATAGACAAGACAGACTTTTAATACAGTGGCATTTAACCAATAGCCCAATTTCTTCCTCCACAGTTGCCACTCTGCTCCAAACCACAAGCTTTTACTGACAGGACTGGCTCTAGAGCTCTCCATTAAAAGCTCAAATTGGCAATTAACAGAATCTCAATCTCAACTACAATTCTATTAATTGCTCAGATCCAAATACAGTCTTTTCAAAACTGCAAACCGAGAAGTCAAGAAGCAGTCTAAAACTAAAATCTAATTGACCTGACTTGAAAGAATTAACCATTTGTTTATTTAATTATTTTGGTTTAAGTATATTTAATGAAGCATTTATATAAAGCTGCTCTGGAAGTAAGAAAAAGAGGATGCAGATGCAATCTCATTCTTGCCCTGGCTAGTATCATCAACATTCTATCAAATAGTCTTCACATAAATATCCATAACATAAAAAACTTCAATGAAAGGTGGGTTAAATAGCAAAGGTGCAACATGTCATTTTTCTGGTGAGGGGTTTGTCACATGCTTGTCTCAGTGGAGAGGTTATTGCTTTGCCTGGTGTGCTCCACAGAATACCATTAGAATGATCCTTTTTACATTTATTCAGTTACAGGTGGTCAACTTGGACAAACCTCCTTGTCAAAGTCTGATCTCATCAGATTTTAAAGCTAAGCAAGGCAAGGGCCTGCACTTGGGTGAGAGACGACTCAGAATTCTAGGTGCCACATGGTATAGTATGAAAGTGGTGTGTGCGTAATTGATGGTGGTCAGAGGGGCCAATGGCACTTCTGTCAATCTGCTCGAGGGCAGCTGTGGCTATAATAGTTTCTTACCACCAGACTTTGAAAAGAGACTTTGAGCGTCTGGAAAAAAGTGTTTCATAAGATAATAATAATAATGTATTTAACTTGAAAAACATGTCAGATTAATGGCCTGATAGTGTCACCTTCTTGTCACTATAGAGAAGATAAAGCCATACTGTGAAACATTTCAGGTAAAGCAAAACATCTCCATAGAGACAAACATGTAACTAAGAAAGGTTACATAGTGCTCCTTTAAATACAGTTATGATCCACCATTATTTCTATAAATGTACATTAAGCAAGCAAAAATCGACCTTCCAGATCTTTTCTTGGCCAGTCTATTGTCTTCAGATATATGACATGAAAACAGTTGAGATAATAAAACAAATGGCCCCATTAGAGATAATTGGACAAATATAGCTTCTGTGTTGTAAATGATCACCTGCTGTCACACATTATCACTGCTAACGACTGTCGTGTTGTCGGAACAACAGAGTCAATTAGGTTCAGAATCTTGTCTGTAACTCTTGGGATAATCACTAGGGCACAGTAGCGCTCCAATGGGACAGATTGGTAGTTCATCACTCACCAGAGAAGGCGGTGGCGTCCATCTTTCCCACACGCACCGGGGACCCAGAACTCTTCAGCTCCGCCCCCACGTCGTACCAGATGGGCTCCAGCTTCTTACAGTAGCCGCACCATGGGGCGTAGAACTGAGGACAGGAACAGGAAAGACATGTCCAAAATGAGGAAATATTATAGTTATGGGTATGTTCACGGTACAGTATACAGTGAACATACATGTCAAACGTATCCCCGAAATGCAAAAGTGTATTTAATATCTCTGTAGCAACATTGTATAAACCACAGTACACACATTATGAGCCACAGAGGATCAGTGGCCCGTAATAGACTTTATGTATTAAGCCTGCTCAACATCCTAACCACATCCTGAACAGATACCCAGTGGTGAAAGGTAATGAAATACAAAAGTAAAAGTATAATACTTAATTGCAATTTTTAGGTATCTCCACTTTACATAAGTACATTTTACAGTGGGTACTTTTTACTTTTACTTCACTACATTTGTGAGCATGTATCTTTTTTTCTACTCCACCACATTTTAGATCTGGTCTGAAAAGTTAAAAGTGCTTTTCTTTTCTGCTGAAATGACTAAGACTTATTTTTGGCACATTTCATTTGAGTTAATGTTCCAACTTGAGCAAACTAAACAAACTAATCTAAACAAAAAAGAAAAATTCACAAATCAATTTAACCACTTCAAATCAGCTACATTCTGTAAACTCTCTACAAAATACTTTTACTTCTTTCAAGACATTTTCTTAAAAGGTATTTTACGTAAGTAGATTTTTTCATGTGATACTTTTACTTGAGTTATATTTTGCCCCTGTATCTATTCAAATTTTTAACAACACTGACTACTACATCCACCACTGCAGATACCCAATACCACAAATGAAACGGTAAATCTCTACGAATTTCATGAGATCCAAATCTCGCAATGCAGTATTTCTATACCAACCAATGATGAATGCATACAAATTTTAACAAGATTATGTTATGTTACTGTACATGTAAACAGACGGTCAGCAACGTGAGAGGTACACAACCCATCTCGGAAAGGCTCTGTTGAAGAATGGGCACTGCAGAGATGTGTCTTGCCAAGAGAAACAACACCAATATATGCTTAAAGTTAAAGTTGGCTATGGCATATACTGACATATACCCAAAAAAAAAAAGATCTGCTCTGGAACCTTGTTTTTGAACTCTCAGTTTAGTGTCAAATTCTACTCAAAATGAACATTCCAACACTCACTTCATCTTCTGATTTGACCTACTTTAGGTCTTCACATGTGCAAAATTTACACAATATACTGTACTTTTGATACCACTTGCATTTCTCTAAACAGTAGTCAAAATTATAAATAGTAACAACCAACAACAAAATAGAGCTGGGCGATATGACATAAAAACTAATCAACATTTTATTTCACAAATTGATAACTCACAATTTTCAATGTGCTTTTATTTTGTCGTAACATAAACAAGATTGACTTTTGATCAGCGGCATTTCACACAAAAACTAGTCCAAATTCTAAAACTTTACTTGCACAAAACTAGAGCAAAGTGAAATAAGTAAATTTGATCATTTCTTACGCACTGCTTTTTGCAAGATCAAAACTTACTGATAGTAAATGTGGGAGTAGTGTTGCCCTCAAACTTGCCTACCACGATTCCTGCATGCTTAATCTAGTTAATACTGGACACATTCTCTGATATAAAACCCTTACAGCACAGTGGCTTTGTGGAGCATGCATGACTTCTCACTGACACAGAGGGCCTACAGCACCCAAAGCCCCCACCCCACCCACTGCAACCACAGGCCACCCACCCACTGCACCCACACTTCCGCTGAACATGAGCCCCAATGTGATGTGATGAGAAGAAATAAAGCTGTACTGAAAAGGACGGACTTACATCGACCAGCCAGATGTCATTGACTCGGGAATCTTTGAACCTGTAAAAGCACAATACAATAGGTTAACTTTATGGAAATGTATGAAATAAGAGATTTTTAATAAATGGCAATTCAATGACATTTTGCAACTACATTTTTTACAGGAAGTCAAGTCAGATTTGTATATTTTTGTACATATTATTAGGGGAGAATGAAATGGAATGGAAATGTACTGCCATTTTGAATATTAATATTACTGAAATACTGTATGACTTAATGAACTAATACAAGAATCATAAACACTTCTGAACAATTTGAAGAGGTCTAAACAAAAGGGTTGGTAGGTTTTACACAACAGAAGTTAGAACAATAACTCGTGGAGATGTGCAGAGGACATTAAAAGGTCTACTTCTTTAAAGAGAATATATTAGGGTATTTTCTGATATGTTATAATGTTATTTCCTCATTAGAAACAAACCTGAAGGTAACATTCTAACATGGCTTAAAGCTCACAACAGACAATTTCGTGCACTACAGGACCTTAAATATCTACAGTTTTTTCAACAGTGAGTGACCATTCAAATTGTGACTCCAGCCATGGCTTGATTATATATATTAAGTTTTATATTTAGGTGTTTTGCTGTTGTTGTTTTTGTTATTATAATAATTAGCAAGATGACATACAATTTAGTCAGTAGCCACTTGACGTGTTAGGTTAAGGGTCAGGTTAAGGTTCAAGTTAAGATACAATCAGCTAAGAAAAAAAGAACACAAACATGCAGTAGGTCTATTATCTTCCAAATGACTGTAACAATATTTCATCACTTTTGTGGTTAGTTTTACAGTAAATCTACATTTTGTGCAATACTTGAACTTCATCCAAATTGACAGGCATGTTTTAGTGCATTTCTGATGAATAACAGCATAATATTGTAGATATTATGCTGTTATTCATAGGAATATAGACCTGTCATGCTAACAAATATTGAAGAATGATATATTGCTGAAGAAAATATAAGTGATAAATGATAATATTAAAACAAGCTGCTTGTTCCAAAAAAATATACTAACTGTACAATTAAAAAAAACAAAAACAAGAGCTGCTATTAATAAAACAGCAGATTGACAAACTAGTATGACTAAAATGACAGACTACTTTGTCTCTATGATGAGTCATAGAAGTAATTTATTCAACCCTCTACAGTTCAAATCTCCCCACTAGTACAAAGAAAAAGCGCCTACAATACATATTTACCTTCTAAAATTATTGTTCCATTTCATGTATTCAATGTCAAAATATTCATTATAGAGATATACATTTTTGTCATAATCATGCACCTCCAAATAAATCCTTACAAATGTATAAATGGAGAAGACTATGTTTACAATAATAAGTCTATAGTGGACAGCTGATACAAAATAAAAAATATATATATTATAAGCTATAACATATAACTTGAAGTACAACTACTTACTGCTAAGAGTGTTTTCTGTTTGAAAGATGAACGCAGCCTAAATATGCAGGGTTTGTGTGTTAAACATGTGTGAATGAAACAAAACACAACTCTAGAAATATTTTTGATGAGACAACAACATTATAACATGAATTAGAAAACAGTGTAATACAAGTACTTTAAGATTCATATACATCTATTATTATAACTAGATGTTTTAGCATGTACACACACACCCCAGAGAGATAGCAGACTTATTATGGCATCCAATTAGAGACACTTGTGTTTTTGTGCAATAGTAACCCTATGGGAGCTGCCCTTTCATAGCAGCCAACAGTCTTTAATTTCTCCACAAATTCTCAAAATACGTGAATAAATGAATATCCTGGAGTCTGGAGGGCACGGTGTCATGCTGGACGTTTGAATGAGACGATCAGGAAACAGAAATGCTGAAACAACAACAAGAGGAGAGTGCAGGAAGCATCACTTACGAGTCATCCAGATCCTCCACAAACGCGAGCACAGCTGGACTCAGGAACACTGCTACCACTGCACCATGCAAAACACAAATCATCACGTTATTTTTTTTTGTATTTTTATTTTCATTTCACAGCGATCAAAAGCTTTATGTGAGAATCCTAGCCCTCTCTAGCCCTGCTCCTCATGACAGCAACTGCAGCATCCCCGGCTAAGCTAACAATAACTCAATTTTCTCATTTATTACAATAACAACAGATATGATGAGTGTCTAAATGAGCGCTGTGCTAACGGTTGGAGCGGAGGATAAAATGCACGGGTGGTAAAAAGTGAAAGTACCTGCAGAAATCAGAGAGGGTTTCACTGGAGCCATCATCGCGAAGAGTGCTCAGAGCAAGCAGGAAGTGCAGCGACTAAACTCCGCGGTGCGCATGCGTCGCTTTTGAAAAAGCTTCAGGAAGGAAACATAACTTATCAGCATGCTTTTTATGTATTTATATGTATTATTTTATTTATTATTTTATGCGTAATGTAAAAAGAAGAATGAAATAGATTTGTTAAATATAATCCTTAGAAAAAAAAAGAAAAGAAAAAAATTTGAATATTGTGTGCATTATAGTCTAACACAGAGTAGGGCGACCAGATTTTCCTAATTGTAAACAGTTGCACACCCGGGTTAGGATGGTTGGTATAAAATAAATAAAATTGTGCATTCTCGTTAAATATATATATATTTTTAAAGAGTTAAAGAGTTTTTTTTATTATTATTATTAATTTATTAATTAAGTAAGTAAGTAATTAGTTTGTTTGTTTATTTATTTATTTATTGCTTTATGGTAATTAACAAACGCGATTTTCTGTATCTTTCTTAAACAATTGAAAATTTATGCTCCTTTTTACTGTTGCCAGGGATCAGATTAGTCAAAAATTGTGATAATCCTGTTATAGACTTCATGTAGTCTTGGTTTAGTCTTAGTTTACTCCTAATTTAGATCAAATTGGTCAAAAATAGGGACACCTTGGACATTTCTTGATAAAACTGGGACAAATCACTAGTTTTGTATAAATCTGTTGGTACAGGGGACACAGGGCTCAAAACTGGGACTGTCCCAGCCGGGTAAATAGGGAGGTCTGGTCACCCTACCACAGAGAGGCATTCATAACCTTTTTAGAAAAAAATTAATAAAAATTACCACATGGTTTGAAGATCAAATACATGTTGCCTATTCTATTTTAAAATGTGACTTTGTTTAATGTATTCTGATACTGTACGTATTTATTTGTAGTCTCTACTTTATTTCAAAGCTATTATTAATTGCATGTATTTTCACAAAATTTACTACAGGGGGCGCTCTAACATAACTTTTATATTAGTACTAGTGGGATTTAACCACTTTCTCTCTGCATGAGCCCAGAATATACTCAGTATTGTTAGTGCATGACAAAACTGTGAAACGTACCACAAGGAACATTGTGTACTTTTTATAAAAACAGTATTTATTCATATTATTTACATGTTACACTATGTGTAGGTCTATATTTTATACCAATTACATAAGAATATGAATATTGCTATACAAAAGTGTACATTGTCACAAATATATAATGTATTTACAGACTGTCTTCTCATAAATATTATTTACTTTACACCGTAGTACTTTGAGAACATGAGCTTCTGTATTGCAATTTAATCAAAACAAAATGTTATTCAAATCACATTGTTGATGTGTAAACAACACAACTGTATAACATGGTGAAATGTGGATGTGGCACAATATCCTCTTTAAAAGTAGCACTAAAGGGGTAACTTTTATGGTGGAGAGTTTTCTACCTGCTTGTGTCCATGGAGATGTTATTACTTAGCCTGGAATGTTCCTCAGTATAGCATTAAAAGTTTTTTGTGGGCTTTATTTAACCAGTAAAACATAGATACAATTATTGCTAAACTGTGGAGCCGTAAACAATGATGTCACCCATAGATGCTCCAGTCAAATGAAGCTCACTGAGGGTTGCAGCTACAGGGTGAATTTGGAGCCGAGTTCCATATTAGGAATAGGAATTTATGGACAAAATTGTGAAAATTAGGAATAGGAATTTATGGACAAAATTGTGAAAATTAAACCTCAATAATCATGTAGAGCGGGTTAATACTAACATTTTAACACCAAAATAAGGAGTCTGACAGCAGCAGTTACAGTGAAAGAGGTTTTATCAATACAAAGTGAATTGCAGCCAGAGTCGATGGAGCCAGAAGCGCGCCTATGCCCACTTATTATTTCATGGCAGCTAGTGGGGTAGCTATGTCAATTTATAGTTTATGTGTGGAACATTTCAGGCAAAGAAATAACATCTCCATGAAAACAAGTAGTTGGTGGACACTCTACGAGGAATTTCACATTTTCACCTTTAATCAATATTTATTAAAAAAAAAAAAAACATACAAATTTAACCCTTTTTGCACTGTCCAAAGATTCACATTATTGCAAATCCAACCTAAAATAAACATAACATAACACTTATATGACACAAATATAGACCTTTGAAGAACTATTTGACACTCGTGAGAATTCTCCATCCTCTGTCATGATGTGAATGCTGACGGAGAACACACTGGTGAACAGACCCACGCAGAGGTCTGGTCCGGTCCATTCAAGCCCACATCTCCAGCTCTGCCAACTTCTGTGCAGCTCAAAGCTTTTGTGTTGACAGGGTCAGAGCAGTGGTGGTGGGCGCACAGCTACGACACACTGTGAAGTCCATCACAGTCTGAACTGTATGAGACGCACTTTGGCTGCTCAACTGAAGAATATGAATTATGTGGGCCTTGGCTACGGTCAAAACAAGGCTTCAGTGGTTGATATTATTGTATTGTGTGATGTAAAAGAGATTCAGTTATATGAATATTTAATGGTAGTAGTTTAATTTATAAAAGTTGATCAGCTAAAACACTGAAGATATTATTTCTTATACAGCATTCATAGAGGATATGTCACGTTTTTAACAATTCAGATATTTGAGATTGAGAACAAAATTACTATATTTAAAGTTGCCCTATGTAACTGTTCTTATGAGAGGTATCTGCTCGCTAACTTCTTGTCTCCATATAGATGTCACTGCTTTACCTGGAATGTTCCAGAGTTTAGCATTAATTGTCTATCTTGCATATAGATGATTAGAGGTGTTTATGCTGCCTTAAAAAGACATGCATTCTTATTATAAATGTATCTCCACATATCTGACCTGTAAGTAGGCATGCTGGGTACACCTACTTGTCTTCATCAGACCATAGTGTGCACTTTAATAGTTAGTCCAAAATGTAGAATAATAGTAGTTTAGGATTATAAATGGTCACATTTTGCATTTAGTATTTGAGAACAATTTCTATTATTAAAATTAAATTAAATCTGAACAGGGTTGAAAAAAAAAAGTTCCCGTTCTAAGAAATAATTTAGATCTAAATGTAATTCAATAAAATGTCATGAGATTTGTAACGTAAGAAAAAAAGGGAACTTATTATTAATAGGGAACTATCGTCAGTATGAGATTCATGTAACACAATGGTCCAAAAACCACATAATAATTCTTTATAGATTCAACAACAAGGTGTTTTTAGTGGGACAAACTACTGCTTAAAATAAAGAGCGCTCTAATGTTTTCCTAGATTCACTATGACCTCACTGAGCTCCGAGTGGTCAAACACACAGCGCACAAACATGACCCTATCTGACCCTCTCACAAAGCCCTCTTTCACTGAATCAGCACAATATGAATCCACACACTGTACTGTCATCTCTAAGTACAGCACAGTCAGTAGAAACAGGCAACACAGAGACAGATTTTTAGTCGGATAATCCTATACACACATGAACAAAAGATAATACAGATCGATGTTAAACGAACTATACGCTGACACTAAACACACAACACTAAAAAATAAATCTTAAAGGTGCAGATGTAACTTTTGGGGGGGTCCACCATCTAACTGTCTCCATAGTGATGTAAATTTGTTGCTTGAAATGTTCCACCCTATAATATTAAACTTATCTCTCGTCTTTTATTCAACTACACATGTTTTTATTGGTAAAAATACATTGAAAATATGTATTCTTTCTGAGTGGAGTCATCTCTCGACAGATCTGACTTGTAACTTGACCTGCTTGTCTCCGTGGAAGAGAGGAGAATTTTAATACCATATTGGAACATTTCAGGCAACGCAACTGACACTTTGCAGGGACATCACGCTGGAGGAAGAAGGGGGGCAGCATGGGTGTCTATGGTAGAATGTTCATTAATTTTCAGGAGCATGTTTAGGTGTTTGTAAGTGTTGTAATGTAATTTGAGAGACGTGTTTAAAAGTCAAATTAAAATCTAACTTGAGTAACTAAACTTCACACAGAGCAGTGCTTCCATTTAGCCCACCAGGGAATGTTGATGACAAAGTATCCATAACTGCTCTGTGTGGAAAAACAGGTGATGGATCCTCTTCCGAAAAAGTTAAAGTTCACTTTTTAAATGAAAATCAGAATTTTAAGAGAAAGAAAATGTTAAAAATGAAAATAAAAAGAAAATGTCATTAAAAATATACAATTTGCCAAACACGCTGGTGAAAATTTCAACATTTCTTAATACCACAGGACAAAAAAATAAAAGTGGTATCATTGTTTCATAAATAATTTTACTAAGATTGATTTGTGCAAAACATTAAGAGTCTATTTTAATACTGCAAAAACACCCTTTAAAATGGGTAAAATAGTTTAAAGATGTGGCTTCCCCCTACTCAGAGTTAATTCATTCATAGTCATTATAAAAAGTTATAAAAAATGTATTATTTTACTTCCCATGTATCGAGTCCAGACAGATGTGCACAGAGCTGTCTTCCTCTTAAGGCACACTGGTCTTAATAATAGCCTCAGATGCCCTTCCGCTGTCTGTCCGCTAGCTCCTTGTTCCTCATTCCAGGATGTCCGTCTCAAAGGGGACCAGGTGGTAGTAGGACAGGTTGGTGACGTACGCCTCAGGTTCCTCCTCGCACAGTTCTGTTTCCAACGGCAACAACTCATCCTCAAACCTGAAAGAGACAGAGAGAGATATTTATCTATTTTTGAATGTTAAATGTCAATGATTTAAAGGTTATATTCTTTGTATTCAGGAATCAGTATTGAAAGAATTTTATAAGCCAAAATAAAACTGAATTTAAAAACTGGAATGATCATGTTGAGGAGACAAATGTGATTTTTGTCATATCTCCTAGTTACAAATGAGAAATTATGTCGAGAATAGGTAGCTGACAATGTAACATTTTAACACTGAGTACTGCCGTGCTCAAAATCAGATTATTATCACATCTTGGGAGTTCTATTTACATGGCATGTAAAATGTAAAATCATTTCATTTCTTTCTGATCATGGTCCCTCTGATCATGCATATCTAATTTTCTGGTCTACATGTCATTTAAATAATCTTAAATGCTCAGAAATCAGATAACAATCAGATTTCAGTTTGCATGTACACAAAGCCACCATCGGGTCACCCAAATGAGATCTAGTTAAATAAAGGATAATAAATAAATAAAACTATATTGTAAACTAAGTATTGCAGAAAGCTGAAGGTTTCTGTCTGAATGTTATTTTGTAAGTAAATTTTTGAGACAATAGAGTTTTGTTTTATTTGTTTTGGTGAAAGGAAATTATGTAAAATGTATGTGTCCACTGTTAATTCAAATACCAAAAAATTGTTACTTGTTTTGTTGTTTGAAAATTACAAAATAACACATCATGATGCATTATGTATAATACATCAATTTTTATGTGTTTGCTGTAACATTTTTATTTCCATTTTAAAGCAGGGGTCTCCAACCTGTAGCTTGGGAGCTACCAGTAGCTCTTCACACCCTTCCAAGTAGCTCGCCAAAGACTTCTGAATTATACATATTGTGCTGAATGGCTCAAATTTGATGAACTACCATTGTAACTACTATTTACCCAGGATATTACCAGTTTTGAGCCCTGTGTCCCCTGTCCCAGCAGATTTATCCAAAATCAGTGATTTGTCCCAGTTTTGTACAGGAAATGTCCCAGGTGTCCCAATTTTTTACCAATCTGATCCCTGCCAGCAGTAAAGAGAGGCATAAATTGTCATTTGGTTACGTAAAATTCAGAAAAGCTGGTTAAAAATCACCCAAACACAAAGAAAATGTGACTATCTGGTCACCCTAAACTTTGTGCACTAATAAATGGATAAAGGTTTATGTTTTATAGGTAGCTAACTAAGGTTTTCCTATGCTACATTTCTTGTGACTGCTAAAATTAGTAGCTTTTTGGCATTTTCTTTTTGTAAAAGTAGCTCACCAGAAGAAAAAGGTTGGAGACTCCTGCTTTAAAGGCCTTTTTTTTTTAGTAAGGGTCCAGCACCTGTGTGTTTCAATGAAGATGTAATTATTGTGCTATTGTTTTTATTGTTCCACATTCTGGCTTTAAACTTCTCTATCATTCACTTATTCAGTTACGGGTGTTTTGCTGCTATAAAAATCCCAAAGCAATAACATGTCCACTGAAAAACAGGTGACAGACAACTCTTAAAAAGTTACATAATGCATCTTTAATACATATCAAATCAAATGTAAGGAAGTGATTAATGGCTGCGAGCTCTTGTGCAAATGTGGTGTAAGAGCAGTATGTCCTTTGTTTCCTCTGCACACCCAGGGAAGGAAGAGGTGCACAGACTTCCTGCTGGAAATACACTGATGAAAGGTGATGGAATTTAAAACATGCAAGCTTCTTCTGGGAGTTTTAAAGAGGAAATCCGTACTTTTCAAAACAAATGGGATTATAATGGACTAGCAGAACTACTGTATCTCAATTAAGAATACTTACATTTGTTTATTTTCATTTAGTTAAAGACATTGTGTTTTTGTCTGCTGTAGAGTGATAATATATGATACCCGTGGATCAATTTAAATCATAATATTGATCTAAAATGACTTTATAAAATACGATGACTGGTTTCAATAGTTGCTATTACTATATTATGTAATGTAGAAAAGATTATGTTTTACCCTATAGTCCTTAACTATACTATCACAGAACTGTATGGATTCTATGGATACTGGGTTGGCTTTAATAACTTTTTCGGAGATGAAATTCATAACTGATAGAACAAGCACAATAAGAGACAGCAACCTGGTCCCCCATGAGGCATCAGTGGGAGCAGTTCATCACCACAGAAGCAGTGGTGCCCATATTACGTGATCATTATATCCACAATACAATGTGTGTATCTGTGCAGTGCCCATGAACATTTGTGTGATATTGGTCACACATGAGAATGTACAGACATTCTCATTTACACTAACGTGTAACAAAAATGTCATTTTTCATGAGTTCCATATATGTAAGTTCTGTGACTGTAGATCAGTGTGTTGTGTATCATCAGAAAAAGAAGAAATGGAAATTATTTTCGCTCCAATTAGAATTTTAATGGCATATACTGAAAGAGAAAGGAACTGTTCTAATTAGTGATTATCTAACTATTAATATTTTACTATACAAATGCATAGAATTATAAATAGATAATATTTTTCTGACATTTTTAGACCACTCCCGTTGCTCTAGCTCGATCCTTTGCAGAGTTATGACCAAAAATGCATATTTGACTTTGGTTACCTTGACCTTCAAGTGACCTTGTGTGATGATTGGGTGAATATTTTAGCCCACAGATTGTTCAGAAATTGCTGAAATTGCCTATCCTTTATAATGGCGTGACCTTTCAATTGACCCATGTGACCTCAAATGACCTCTGATCGTCACCAAACTTTTTTGCAGCATGACCGTGTACCAAATTTGTTGACAATCAGTCCATAAATGGCAGAATTATCGCAGGTGGACAGACACATAGACACACAGACACACAGGGTGAATACAAAACCTGGTCAACCCTTCAGGGATCAGGTAAAAAAGGGATAGCTGCTGTAGGGGACTTCTTGTACCAAAGTCAACGAACCCTACACGTATCACAGATTAAGAAAATAAAACTGGAGAATGAAGTAAGTACAGAGCAGTGGGAGTGTACTGATGGAGGCAGTGACTGATCGGAACAATGACATATTGAATAAAGGAGAATAAAAGATTACTCAAACATGCATGAATCACTTTCAACAGAACTTTGAGGGAGTAAATGATTTGTTTTCATGGTACAATACAATCCTATATCTTACACAAAAGGGTACACCACCAGTTAAGTTATTTCTTAAGACATGGATGAATCCTTACTGATGACCATTAGTACTAGCCTGATTCATCAGCTGGTTTCACTTCATTTCACTTCTTAGAAACCGTCTGACCTCGCAGTGTTAGAATTTGTTCGCTTGACAGTAGAAGGGTACTTTTTTGTTTAACCAATCACTGCTATTTGGTTGTGACGCATATAATGCACCGCTAATGGGGCTAACTTTTCCCAAATCTTGTAGGAAGAAGGGCAACAACATCTTTCCCCTTGATGAAGTTCACCAAACATTCTCTTATTCTGGCTTTAAATCCTCAATCTCGGGAATCGTTGCCAGCACAGAATATATGACTCTTCACTAATTGGCTGGTGCCCAAAATTGCAACACCAGGGTTTTTGCGAACCGTCTATTGTATTTTGATTCCTGACCTAGTTGCTGGAGAGAAATGAAATTCTCACTAGGTGGCGCCAACCTGGCTACAATCGTACCAGCACAACCCATGAATGTATGTAAATGTAACATAAGATGCAAGCTGTCAGTACTTTTTATGTTGTAATAACCAGATTACAGTGTTTTTCAAGTCTGTTATGTTACTATAGAAACTTGAGTTCACGCATTTTCCTGAATTAGATATGAAACAAAATATGGCTAGAAGTTCTCAGGGTAAAAACAGCCACTAAATCATACGTGTTTTCTGCAGAGTCTGTGGATGAGGGCCGCTCCTTCTCCTCTGGACTCTGGTCAAACACTATGGTCTCTGTGTTGGCCAGGCAGAACCCATTGGACCTCATGATTTCTGAAACACACACATTATCACATATATTATAATACATTATCACATATATTATATTCTTTACAATTATTGAGAGCACGTGGTTGAACACGTAACATTTCTAGACTAAAATATTTACAACTGCGACACCCACTCAAGAGCTCTAAAACTAAACCAGACTTGTACGTATCTGTATTGATTATGAGATGGTTTGACCGTGTGATGGAGTATTTGTCTTCTTGACTTCCCAACTGCATTTATTATTGAAGAAGACAGATAAAAGACTTAATTTGCCCCCAAAGGGAAATTGCTCTACGGTGAAGTCACATGACTGGCCTTTCACACATGACACCAATAAACAACAACTTGAGTTATAACGCAGGCTGAGAGCAGTTTAGCAACCTTAAAGGTACAGTTTGGATTTTTGGACAAAGGACCTCATTTCCTAGTGAGTCAGAATGTTGGAGATGTGTGGAGACACTTGTTTAAATATTCCATCCAGTCCTTGTATTTGCAGAGGTCACTGGTGCTAGGCTAGTGCATGTCAATGGCCATAGTTATCCTGCCACTAAAAACAGTCTTACCCACTCCACAAAACACCCGAAGCAAATCTATTATTACACCAGAGTGTCGATGTGAATGTCTGTGTTGATAGAATAATGTTTGAAATAAATCTAACCTTGCATCACATGAACTGTCACATGTTGAGGGACTATTTTCTCAACAGAAGCAGAATTTTACTTTGTGGTAAGACAGGTGCTAGGTGATATCAGTCCGCCACTACCAAGATTTCTATCAGGAAGTACAACTCGCTGCTGCTGCTCAGAAATAAAACCTTCAAATACAAGGTTGGTTTCACTTCTAAAAATATTCTATCATTGCTTCGGGTGTTTTGTGGAGTGGGTAAGACTATTTTTAGTGGCAGGATAACTACGGCCACTGACATGCACTAGCCTAGCACCAGCAACGTCTGCAAATACTAGGACTGGATGGAATATTTTAAAAAGTGTCTCCACACATCTCCAACACTTTGGCTCACTAGGAAATGAGGCCCTATGTCCAAATTTCTAGACAGGTATTTCTTCATAAAGTCTGCACTTAAACAGAGCAAAGGATTATGGTCTATCTAGTTCCATCAGTTTTTTTATCTGTTGCTGCACCAAAACAATGAATTTAAGCAAAGAGAATTGTAATTTGATATATTGCGATGGCCCACGATATTATTGTGAAGCTTTTGACAATACAATATCACAATATTTCTGTTATTGTTACATCTCTAATTATTATTATTATGAATTTATAGGCACTTATCACACCTCTGAGAGACCAGTGTAAGTTTCGCTGTGAATACTATGTACTATGTACTGGAACAAGACAAAATTAGCTTAAATACATGGGAATAAAAATCATTTACAGACACTTTAAGTACACTGTAAATATCAATATCTAGGTATGTTAAAATTACTTAAATTAAGAACATTTTACTTTATTTGAGTCAATTTATCTTGACAAGCAAAATTATCGACCAATAGAATAAGTGTGTTTTTCTTAATTCAAGCAACATTTGACACGATTTTGTTTCAAAAAGTGCAGAAAGTTGTTGTTTTTCTTATCTTAAGTGCAGCAAGATATATTTTCATATTTTAAGTACAAAAAGTCTTGTTTAATTGGCAGATCATTTTACTTGTTGAGTGAAATTTATTCAAATCATGATCAAACTGTTAAGTCAAGTGATCTTAACTTGGCTAGATTTTAGTTTTTACAATGTATTGGTATTGAAAAAACTAAACAGTATCCAAACCTACTCTTGAACTAATATGCTGTTTTAGGATTTCACACTCTCACATGGAGCCAAGATCTTATATTCCTGTTACTTCATGGCACATTTTTCAGTTTTGCATTAATATTTCCCACCATGAAGTTGTTGGACTATTACCTGATATCTTGATGGGGCTCTGAAAACAAGGCTGTATCCGGTGGACTTTGTCGTTCCTCAGCACCTGGTCCAGTGGTGAGCGCTCAAAGAACGTCAACATGACCTCTGACCTGGAATACTGCAGAGGGGAGCCAATTTACCCGCATGACTTTGCAAACATCACATGCTAACATCACACATATCAAGCGGGAATTCATGCATGTGAAAAACTCACAAAGATATATAGATTAGATAGAGGTTGTCTTACTTTGCAGGGCATGTTGATAGCATTTTTCAGCAGTCTTTCCACCTCGTTCAACTTCTCCTCAATATCGCTCGCTTCTTTGATTTTTACCATTCCTGAAACATAAACATTTGAACAACAATTAAAGTGGGATTAAACACCTAAACTTCACCTACAACCACATTTTGAAATATAGCTGCTTAACTGGACTACAGGGCAGTGCTGCGTGATGTCACCAAGTACTTGAAATTGCAAAAGCCTCTGGAGGCTTCAAATTGACATAGTTTATACTAAAGTTGCCAAAAAATGACAAAGAAGTATAGAAATTACTATTACAACAGCATATAGTAGTAGTTTAGTAGCAAAAAAAGCAGATTTTGTTACACTTTAAGTATGAGTAAGATTTTATTTTATTTTTTCACTTACAACTTAAAACAACACCTACATTTAAAACACATAATCTAATAGTTCTGGTGTAGTTCTGGCATTTGCTTGTTTCCATTAAGATATTTAAAAGTATCCACAGTATAGCATTAATCTCAATCACCATGGAGACAAAAAGGCAACGCTACAGATCAGTAAGAATGCATGATCTTCCAAGGTTTATTTTTAGCTATAAAAACACCTGTAATTGAATAAATGCAAGATGTATGTTTAATGCCATACTGTGGAACATTCCAGGCCCCAACCTATCAGAAAAACTACACTTTGAGTTTGATTTTATAGCAAGTTTGTATAGTTTTTATTGACTGTTTCACCTTCTCAGTATTTATTTGACCACTTATGTTGTTTTTCAGTCCCGTGATATTTTTCCCTTTCTTTTTTCGTCATAAGCAGCCACACTTGTTTTGATACAGATGGATCATGTGAGTCCCTCAGTGGGATCATGACCATCTGAACTCAGGGAGATTCACCAGTGACCAGACTCACATCTTTGTAAAGTATGTAAAGAGAAATGTGTATTCTGGAGTATAGAGTGCATTCAAGCTTTACCTGTCTGACTGATACAAATGTTACAAAAGCTTCAGGAATAACCACGCAAATGACCTTCTTTTGTTAATTATATAATCTTATTTTTAAAGATCATCTTGTTAAAGGGTGCCCATGAATGGAGGAACTAAAAGCTGAAGTTCCTCTAACCTTTGCAGCCTTCAGAGAATACAAATATAGACTCTGTGAAGTGGCTACAGTCACTGCCAACTACCAAATGCAACGTACTGTAGTTTAACAGCGACTATAAATGCTGCTGTGGTTGGAGAATTGTAATTTTATACTGGCAAAAAGAATCTCAAAATAACTTACACTATATGCGAAAATGTCAAAAATATATACAGTATATAGTATAATAGTATATTTTGTTTATGTTACTAAGTTGTATAGTGAAAAATATAGAAAAAAATATGTAATTGCATTTTTTCTGAAAGGCAGTGAGATTACAATCAGATTTGTGAATGTTCTGATTCTGTTCATACTTCATACTTTAAATGTGTCCAGAAGAACTGACAAAAAAGCTGAAATGTGAACTGACAAACTAACACAAGAATCACATTTGTACAGATCGCATTTCTTCTAAAACTTTTTCTGAAGTGCTTCTAAAATTGTAGCCTTTGTGATTTGCTAGTTGTGTCCATTCAAATTGTAATTTTGATTTGATTTTGATTAATCTTGCAGTCCTACTCCAATAGCAGTTGAATGATTTGAAACGTACAACAGTTTCCAGTGACAGTCAGCTGAGTGTCCGAGCTGCAGAGAGGATGTGAGGATGACTGGTCTGTCAGCTCAGTGCTACAGATATCACACACTCACACAGCAGTGCTTATTTGGAAGAACTGAGTCAGAGCCTGAGGCAGCTGGACACAAAAGCATGTGTTTATACTGGCCTACAGTGATGATGTCACAGCCACAATGTGAGCTCTGACTCTGCACTCAAGTCATCACTGTACTGGGCTGAGTGTCTGAGTTATGGTGACTCAGAGTTATGTACTGAGATCACATGGAAGTGGGTGATGTATTGAAAAATGGATCATATCACAATTGTTTTTGAGAGGCAATATTAGAACACTGAGTATATTGTCTATATTAAAACTATTATGAATGACATCAAAAAGCGACAGAAAGGTCTGGTGTAGTCATATATATTATGAATATGAGCATTTATGTTCAAGTGACAACCCTCAACAACAGCTATTAAAATGTAAACTTTTGTCCCTGCTGCCGAAGAATGGAACACTATCTGGGTAGTTGAGGGCCCATCTAGCCCACATGTGTCTGCACATCTGGAGAAAGTGCTTGACCCTGTCCATGCCTAACCTGCCAGTCTCTTCTACATTCTGTTCCGGCTGCTGGAATCAGAAGATAGAGTACGACAAACCACTGTCCTAATTTGGGATGGTACAACCACAGCTGCAAATTTGTGTCACGTGTCCAACTTTTGTACGACCAGAGCAGAAAGCTTCTCTTGGATCATGTTAGACTCTGCCATGGAGTTGCGTTTTTGACCAGTTGGGGCCAGAATTTCCAGAAAACTAAGCACCAGAAAAGGTCCATTTGTGGACCGGATTTCTGCATTTTATGGATGACCTTGTTGGTTTCAAGCCAGGATGCATGCTCCTGCATGCTCTAGGGCAGTGTGAAGCAACTGTGCTGAAAATTTGCCTCATAAATCCAAGGCAGAAAAAGTAGCTTCCTTGCCCTCTGGTTGGAATCCTTAAGTCTCAAGTAGAGGAGTTGAAGTATCTTTATTCAGTAAAATGAAAACAAAATGTTGTGCCATTGAGGTTCAAAAAGCTGAATTAGCAGCATGCCCTTGCACTGACATCAATTGTGCAACACAGAATGTAGCCAAAACATGCAAGAGGAAGAATGAGTTGTTATTTCGCAACGTCAGCATGTTTCACCTGCGCTAACATCTGACACCACAGTGGGAATAGTTTAATGAAGCGTCTAATTAACAGCAGATTCAGCACATACCTGTCAGAGGAGAGCTCATTACGGAAAAGGACCACCACATACGATACACAACATTACAGACGAGCAAACAACAGATGTTCACATTTAGCCTACCCACGTTTACTAAACACTTTTTTATCTCAAAGATTCTGAGGTAGAATTTGTTAAAAAGTACAGTTTTATGTGAGAGGGTAGTTTTACATAAGTTACACCAAAAACCAAACAGTCTTGACAGTAAAATTGCAGTGGGTAAAATAGTACGTTACACCCTCGTCTTTCCCCCACACACAAAACCAGCGGGTACCACCAAAGAGAAATAAACACGAGCCTAGCAAGACGCCGCCGCTAAACTAGTAGATGACTTCAAGTATCTTGGGAGAAGTTACTAAAGATGCTGAACTTGATTTTTACTGTCTTAAAAAGTGAAAAACACAACTAGTTCATTTTAAAAGGTTTATAGTGGTCCAAAGTTTTTCCTCACTTATCGTACATATTCCGAGCATTATTCATCACAATGAGTTTATAAGTGTTTTTCTGACTTTCAAAGGTCAGGGTGGAGTTCTGCCGTCAGGAATGATAACAATAACTAGCATGGTAAGCATGCATCTCCTGAGCTTGGACAATAAAATGCTTTATAATGAGATATTATCAACAAGTAAAACTAAATTAACTGGACTTAGCATTTGAAAAAGACACAAAATATATAATTAAAAGCAAGTACATAGTGGAATTATTTTGACCTCAAGAGCTGTCAAATAATTCTGCTTATAGGAAATTAGGTTTGGTAGATTAATTAGTAATTATTCAAAATGCAATTGGACAATAAATATATTAAAGGTAGTTAGATAGATGTTGAAAGTGTGATTTGGGTGAGTTTTTAAAAAGTCAGTTTCAAATTTTTTGGACTTGTTGAACAGTCATTAGGTAAAATGGCAGATGTCATTCAAGGAAACACTGATATTACAGTGAAATGCACCAGAAAAAGTTTGTTGACATAAAAAAATATACTTTTACATAAGAACTTATATTTAAAGAGGGAAAGTGCTAACATGCTTAAGTTTGATCAAATTTTGAAGAGTTTTATTCTTTTTATGGAAAAAAAAAAAAAAAAACTGGTCCAGATTTGAGAGTTAATGCCGTCTTCTTCAATCTTCAAAACTTTAAGAAAAAAATAATAATAATGGCCTACTGTTTATTTGTAGATCTCAGTTTGTGCTTTTCATCCTTTCCAATAACATGTTATTTTAAATGGAATTCAATTTGAACAATATGTCCATTGCACCGAATGACATTTTTAAAATGTCCATGGCTTTAAATGCAGAAAAATGTTTTTATCAAAGCTGTTTTCAAGGGGCATATACACTTTAATATACCAGAAAGTGTACACATTTTGCATGCTTTTATATTTAAATTTTTTGAGCATTTGAAAACTGCAAAATGTTACTCAGCCATTACATGAAAATATAGGTTTCAGGCCCTTTAATAACAGTTCTGCCAGTCTAATATGTTTTAAGAATGTTAAAAGCTGCCACATTTTTTTCTAATAGTTTCCTCTGATGGTCTATTTCCTGCAAAGACTTCCTGGACTCAAAGTTACGCAACAGGTCTCGAGAAATTGCTTCAACAGAGATATTCTACGATGATTTTAGATTTGTAATTTTAGTTGTCATGATCTCATGCATGTTTTCAGACACTTGAGGGTTTGTGGTTTACTGATGAAACTGATCGTCAAATTATCTATGTTGTCATCTGCACTGCTATTTCCCAACAGCATCAGTATTGCACTGATAAATATTCATGTAATGTGATGCTAAACCACAAAATGTCACAATATTATATACGAAAGTTGTATCACACATTAACTTGAATATATGTTTCCATTTTGGGAAATTCTATTTAATTATTTCAGAGCATTTAAGGTCTATATATAATAATTACCAAACATGCATAATACAAGAATGGCTGATTTACTGACTGTAGGCAAACAGTCTAAGCTAACATACTTTGTTTTAGGACTGCATAGCTTTATAAAGGTTACAGTCTACTTTTATTCTCCTCTCTTCTTGTTCTGTAAAGCACTTTGAATTACTTTGTGTACAAATGGTGCTGTACAAATAAACTTGCCTTGCCTTGCTTACTTTTTGCCTATTTGTCTTTAAAAATGCTC